ATACCAGTTTAATGTAATGCCTTTCGGATTGTGTAATGCTCCAGCTACGTTTGAGCGACTGATGCATCTTGTTTTGCGAGGCCTTACATGGAGAACCTGCCTGGTATATTTGGATGATGTCATGATCATGGGAAATTCGTTTCAAGAACATCTTAATAACCTGAAAGAAGTTTTTGACCGCTTCCGCAATGCCAACTTGAAACTCAATCCAAATAAGTGTTTCCTATTTCAAAAAAAAGTGAAATTCTTAGGTCACGTGGTATCGGAAGATGGCATACAAGTTATGGAAGGCAAGATAGATGCTGTCAGGGATTAGCCAAAGCCACGCGACAAACATGAACTGAGGAGTTTTCTGGGAATATGTTCTTATTATCGCAGATTTGTGGAAGGTTTTGCCAATATAGCTGCTCCGCTTCATCGATTAACGGAAGAAAAATCAACATTTAATTGGACCCAAGAATACGACTGCGCTTTCAGAAAATTGAAAGGAGCATTATGTTCGAGCCCAGTGTTATCCTATCCCGATCAGAACGGCATGTTGATTTTGGACACAGATGCAAGTAACACCAGTATTGGAGCTGTCCTTTCACAAATCCAAAATTCACAAGAACATGTCGTAGATGCTAGCAGAACCTTATCAAAGCCGGAACGAAACTATTGTGTCACCAGAAGAGAGTTGCTTGCCATAGTAAAAGCAGTCGATCATTTCCATAAGTATCTCTACGGACGTAAGTTTCTAATTCGAACGGTTCACGCAGCTCTAAAATGGCTTTTAGAAATGAAAACTCCCGAAGGACAGCTTGCTAGAAGGATTGAGAAATTGCAGCAATAGATTTCCAAATTAAATATCGACCTGGAAACCTGCATAAAAATGCTGACGCTCTGTCTAGACGGCCATGTAGAGAAGATTGCAAGCATTGTCAAATAATCGATATACATGAGAAAAACATTGGTCCAGCTGTGAGAAGAACAGGCCTGATCGTTGAGGACAAATGGACTACCAAACAAATAAGAGCAGATCAAGAAGCAGACCAGAACATCGGGCGATTTCTCCATCTTAAGGAAAATAATGAATGTAGGCATGGAGGGAAGTGTGGAACAAGAGCTTGATTTACAAGGCGTTGTGGGCCCAGTGGAACTCTCTGGCCGTAGAAAATGGGAAAGTGCCGATGGGAAATCCACTAAGAGCCAACTGGTTATCCCAAAAGACCGAGTGGAAGATGTATTAAAAGAAATACATGACGGAACTTCAGGGGCACATTTTGGAGTTAACAAGACTTTAGATAAAATTCGGGAACGTTTTTACTGGGTTCACTATCACGAAGACGTTAAAACCTGATGCCGAAAATGCGACATCTGTGCTACCAATAAAGGCCCTAAACTAAGATCCCGGGGGCCCATGAGACAGTACAACGTCGGTCTCCCATTTGAAAGAATAGCGATAGATGCTGCCGGACCGTTCCCTGAGTCAGAGCGTGGTAACAAATACATCTTAGTTATCATGGATTACTTTAGTAAATGGCCAGAAGTTTTCGCTATTCCCAATCAAGAAGCCATCACTGTTGGCCAGGTGCTAGTGAACGAAGTTTTCAGTCGTCATGGTGTGCCACTAGAGTTGCATTCAGATCAGGGACGAAACTTCGAATCTGCCATCTTCAATGATGTGGGCATTCGTAAGACAAGGACAACACCTTTACATCCACAGTCTGATGACATGGTAGAACGATTCAATAAGACCATAGAGGAACACCTGACAAAAATGGTCCATCGAGATTAGGACAAACATTTGCCTCTATTTTTAATGGCTTACAGAGCAGCTGTTCACGAGTCAACAGGTAAAAGTCCAGCCAGAATCGTTTTTGGAAGAGAACTCAGGTTACCTTGCGATCTGATGTTTGAGATACCTGAAGAAGAACGAAAAGAAATCCGATATTACGCCGACGAAGTAAGGGCACGACTTCTGGGAATACACGATTTTGCTCGGGAGCATATTCAGCTGGCCAGTGACCGAATGAAGACCAGATACGACTTGAAAGCCAATTCAGCCGGATTTCAAGAAGGTGAATTAGTGTGGCTATATAATCCAGCTAGAAAGAAAGGAGTATCGCCGAAATTATCTACAGCATGGGAAGGACCCTACAGAATAATCAAGAGGATCAATGATTTGGTTCATCGAGTCCAGATGAAAGTTGTACATCTAGACAGATTAACAAAATATCATGGGCGTGAAGTTGATCGGGACGATCAACCTTAAGAGGAGGGCTGTGTTACGATAACGCCGCGTTACGATAACGTCGCCGCCGAGGCCGTCGCCAGGATGTCAAGAACCCAATTAAGCGGGATTCTTGCGGTATTTTCGAGAATAATAGTTATCGCGTGTATTCTAGATTGTACATGAATAGACTTAGGGATATATAAAGGTCGGCATTAGTTTGTAAGTTTAGGTTTAAGTTTGACTGTGATACGATTTAAATAGTGAGTATTGTTGCGGGTTGTAAAGAGTTTAATTGTTGAGTTAGTTATCAAAGTAATTAGTGTCAGAGTGTATAGTTATGTGGAATAAATTATTGCTGTGTTAATTGGACTTTGATTTTGGAATAAACGAACAACGAACCCAAGATTTCTGTCACGATACCCAATGTCGTGACATTACTTAGAAAAAAGAACAGGGGTTTTTTTAACAATGAAATTTGCAGGAAAATACACATGTAAAAGGCCCTTTCTGCTAAAGATTATTATGACATAGAAAATAAAATTTCACTGTTTGTTATAACAGCTTCCTAAGTGTTAAGAGTATATCCTCTTGTAGACCTCATTACACTTTTTAAAATGTCATTAGGACTAACTAAACATACGTTAACTTAGCAACCACCCATCCAGCCACGATAGTGGTGGAAAAAATACAGACAGCGAGAAATTAACACACAATCGTTCCAATTTTACATATTAATGCGAGAAATTTAAATAGGAAAGCGAGAGAGCCAAAAGCAGAAGTTTTAATTGGAATACGTACGCCATCCCAGATGCAGTCGGAAAGTTTGCAGATATATATTACGTAAGATGTGTACCGGACAAAATTTGTTTTGTTAAACTCATCGGATGCAAGAAATTTAAATTAAAATAGCAATAATTAGGAGGAAAAGATTCTAGATGGGCAATACAATATTGAAAAAAAAGTCACCCTGACTATTTGAATTAACAAAAATATTTTCGGCTGAATGTAAATATTCAATACGAATACACGTGTGAATTTGTAAAACTCATAATGTAATGCACGGATTCATAAAAAAATTAAATGAATAATAAATTATAGCAGATATTTGCCCTAATTAATTTATTTCTAAATTTATCTCTAGAAAATAAGTGTTTGAAAATTTGTCTTGAAAAAGTAGAAGTTTTTGACTTTTGCAAAAATGTTTGTTTATATATGAACAACACTTAAGAAATACTGACCGTTATGGACAACACTGAGATTATTAATTTGGACAATATGGATTGCCAGGAAAAAGTTGAAAAAAAAAACCAAATAGGTCAAATATTTCTGAAAATTGGTATGCGGATGCAGTGGCAGCTCGTGGTGTCCACTGAGTGGTGTCCAATTAAAGGGTGGGCGACAAAAATAAAAAACAGCAGTAGGCGATTTTTTTTTCGATTTTTAAGGTCGCGGCCTTTTTAAATGATATATTGTAAGCACTTTTTATTTTTTCATTCTTTCTCCAGGGTGGCGGTGCGCGGTGCCCACCTTGCCTATATGGGCGAACCGCCACTGTGCGGATGTGAAAATGCCAGACAAAACATTTTGCCGAAATTGATTTTTTTTCGATACTTTCGTGAAATGAATAATAGAACACTAAATATCGGATTCAGTGAAAAAAGTGAGGAAATAATTTGAAACCTAAAAAAAAGATCGTGAAACTTCGATTGTGAAGTTTATTCTCGAAAAATCAGTAAATTTCCATAGGTACCTATACTTCAAGAGTTGAAATTAGACAACGATTAGACCAAGAATCATCCCTGAATATTTGTTGTCCAAATGAAAAATGCTTTGTTTGTTCCGAGGAAAGTCCCATTAATAAAAAGATTTACGAATAACTAGCTACAGTGAGAATCATTGCAATTGGCACACACTATACAGGGTGTTAACAAATAGTGGGATCAAACTTCTAGAATAAATAGTATCTACTCATTAAAATAAGAAAAAAGTTAATAGAAATATAGGTCCGCAAATGCTTAGTTTTCGAGATACAGGGTGTCAAAGCTTGAAAAAATTGGTTTATCAAAATCCGTTTCCCGAATTTTTTTAAACTTGGCAGATTTGTTTGCAATAACAGAAGGTATCTTTTGACTCAATTAGATTTACCGTAATTATTCTATTGGCGCTTCAGAGGGCAATGACGTTTGTAAAAGTAGAAAAAAAATGACACGTCTTTTTTCAAATTAAGCGAGTCATATTACAGTCAAAAGGGAGGGATTTTTGAGCTTAAAACCATTTTTTTTTTCAAACTTTGACACCCTGTATCTCGAAAACTAAGCATTCGCGGACCCATGTTTCTCTTAACTTTTTTCTTATTTCAATGAGTACTATTTATCCCACAAGTTTGATACCACTATTCATTAACACCCTGTATAAACATTGCCCATAATGCGTCAAATTTTTCTTCTTCGACAGACAGGTAATGTCAAAATCGTGTCGGATTGGTGAATCAGTGGTGAACATAATAGTTTTGATAAAATGTGAAAGGAAAAAAATATTTGTACACCGCTGCACCAAACAGATTTATTGCTTAAAATTTTGACTTAATACGAGGGATGTTAAAATAGTATGGAATGTGCCAATTGCAATGATTCCCACTGTACATAGGTTAAAAATAAGTAGACTTCGGTAAGTGCTGTTGCTGCTTTAAATTGGAAACCTATAGAGAAGTTTCTTCATCATATCATATCCTGCTTAGTTACCTGTATTATTATGTGATAATCAGAGCTGCTTAAAAATGACTTACTCCAAGACTCTATTTGGCTCAATTCCACAACTCGCAGCAATAATTATCTTTGGCTCAGCATGATCAATCCTGGTACTTAACTCTGTAGCAGCAAATCCTAAAAATGATTGTCTTTCTAAGTTGCTAATTTTAATTCTAAAAATCTTATTAAATTATAAATGAGCTCTATTATTTTTTAAAAATCGATATAAACTTAACATGTAGGTACCTCCAAAAACAACAGAATGTACTGCGCCAAGTCTGGCTACAGCTAACATAGCCATAACAGTTTCTGGAATTAAAGGCATATATATGATAACAGTATCGCCTTTTGTTACTCCATATCGGGCGAGCAATCCAGCGAGCTTCGAAACCTAAAAAAGGATTTTCATGATGATAAAATAATGTAACTTATGCCAGTGTTGATTAATTTGAAAAAATGTCGATTTAGGTATTCCTTATAGTATGACGAGGTTTCCATAGCTAGGTCATTTCTAACAACATTGTTTAAAATTAAAATTTGATTTGCATTTATGGACGTCCATTGAGTACCTAATTAAACACCGATACAAAATCAAATGTTTAATGATATACGTTGACTGTAAATTAACTAGGATATACCTAATAGTTTTCAAAATTTGTTATGATTATGCATTAGGTTTTTAACAATTAACATAATTGAAGTGTATATTTCAAAAATATTTGAACATTTATTTTTTAGATGAGGAAATGGTGTCGGATCAACTTTTCATTGAAATCATTATCTATCAATTTTCGCTTCTAACTGATGATGCGTTCAACGGTTTAAGCATGTAGCCCAACCCGTGAATTTTTCAGAATTTAGGGGAATAGCGCAGCTCGTCTTTTCAAAAAGATTTAACACCAGCTTTATAAAAAAGTAGGCATTAGTCACACACAGTAAAATCACAGTTAAAAGTCAGCTGAAAAACTTTAAAACTTGTGGCGTTGGCATGATCAAACAAGAATTGAATCCGTATGTCATGCGTTTATCTTAAAATCGTGAGGATGAACGGAAAAATGTTTGATACAAAAATATCTAAGCCTAGCTACTCCCTTTGGGTTTTACTGGATCGCTTATTCTTTTCTTTCTTCTCTAGACGTTCTTCATCTCTTTCATATTTCTCGAGTTTTATTTTATGCTTTCTAACACCAGGTCAGTCCTGCATGTCGCTTAATGTTACCATACTACTGTGGTCGCCTTTCTATACTCCGTTTTCCTCTCGACACCATGCTCCAATAAAAATGCCGAAGGATAACATTCGAAAAGGCCCAGAACGACATACTAGTAGAAACGCAGAAGACCAAAAATGGATATCGGAAGAACGTCTGAGCATAGAAGTAGATATTTTTCAAAAGTTTGGGGCGATGTTTCAGAAATATTGCGCTATCAAAAATTCAGAAAGGCTATAAACGTACTGTAACTGCGACCGAAAATGATCTGTTAATCTGACATTGTGGGCGAGTTGGGCGACGCTCCCGTTCAGATGATTGCGATGCGGAGGAAGAAAGTGGCCTCAGATATCAGGAAATCGACTCCTTGCCAATGTAATAAGGCAAACCCTGGCGATTTATGATTTATGATTTTCACTCCACCATCAAGAAGAACTGTGAAAGTCCCATCGGTCGAAGCATCGCCAATGGCAAGGAATGTGAATTCTCATCGGCAATGAGTTGTTGAAACATCGACTCCACTTTATTCACAGTCTGAGAAAGTCACAATCCATTGCGTCATAGCTCTTTGTGTTTGCAGGTAAATACCAGCGAAACAAGGATGAGCTGATGCCTTTTCTTCTTAAGGCTTATAAAGTTCCCAGATAAATCCACGGATAGTGTATGGCTATAGCCACTGGAGTCCCCATAAATCCAGTGGCTATACACTATCCATGCTATGAGTGAGGGAGAAATGGAAATGGAACTTCCCAGCGATCTAATGTATGAAAGTCTATCACCCGATAAAGACGAAGCTGTACTTCCTGTAACTTTCAAGCTGTTGGTAATTTATTTTGGGATATGTAGCTAGCTAGATTTGTTGATATATTACTTTCATTGGGCCTCTCGTGTGAGGTGACATTTTCTCCCAATACTATGATAATATTTCATCTGCTCCAATGGTGGACCAGTTTCTTCGATTTCCACTTCTGGGGTGTCGTTGATGATTAGAGCTGTCGTTCCACTATTTTTTTTTAGAGTTTCGGCGAATTACGATTGATAACTTTGTACAATTAGGAATAAAATTTTTAAAATCCTATTTTTGTTTCGCATCATATTCAATAGAAGTTCCGTTTATCATTCGCAACGCTGCAGCTACTAGTAATAAGTACATTTAAAAGTTCAGGTTTAGTTTTTTGCTGACTCTATTTAACATATTGGAGACGTTGGTTATTTAAATATTTGATGATTATGTTGAGAATTAAAAAATGGAAAGGGAGGGTAAACCGGGACTAATAAAATATGAATAATATACTTTGTTACAAATTCAGTGCCGTAATTTTTAACACAGAATTTTCAGCAACCCACAAACTTTTCATTCGTTATGAAGAAAGGGATGATATATTTTTATTTATTTAGATGCTACTGCAATTTTAATTGTTAGTACTTACAGAAAATTCTATGTTATGAAGTATCTAGTACCTAATTCGTAATGTTTTAAATACCCACAAACTTCAATTCAATATCGTAATGCACTACAAGTTAGCAAAAGAGATACATGTTCCATGTAAAAGGTGTCCTCACATATTTTTCACCCATACATTTTGTTCTTTGACAATCTGTGATATAGAATATTGAGTCGATGCGTAAGTTCGTAGCGTTTCTATTGAATTCAAAAAGGGTCGAGAAAAAAAGTAACCGAACTAATTGAGGCTATATTCTCCTCCGTTTCTAGTCGGTGTTTTTGAAGTAATGTCGCCAATTTATTTTCATGCCTCGAAGGTTGCTGGATAGAGAGCGAAAGAGACGAAAATATCATGAAGCAATCCATGTCAGAGAAATAGGGCGGATGTGGCAAAGCTTTCTAACCAAGTTGATGCAGGCAGGCGTTATACTGTTGACTGGAAGTTGACAAAAAAAACTAAGCAGGAATGTTCAAGCAGTCCTTATCAAAGTCTGATAATCTTCCCCAATGGCGAATCGTTCATCTTTATTGGTTCTAGCATAGCCTTAATTTCTTTGTTGAACCAAAAGATATGTCAGAAATGCTATTTTTTTTTGTAGATACTTGACACTTGATTTACTTCAGCCAATAACTTTCACATTCGCTCCACACATTATCCAATTCAAAGAATATGCAGTAGAAATAAAACAAATTTGTTTCCAAGACACTAGGAATCAGAAACTCTTCGAACTAGCAGCGATCTATTCTCGAAGTTTGCGAACAATGTTTCCATGAGAGCGATTGCTCCGTCTTCGTCAGTGCCCTGCGAATATAAAAATGAACGATAAAGACAGAACACGCGGTCTCATCAGAACGCTGCTGCTGTGTTTTGAGAACAAGGACCCTGACATAGATAGTTCAGTATTCAATGGAAACCTAGATTACACCGATAATAGGTTAAGGTTAATTGGAAAAATAGGGCAAATCAAAAAGAATCGATAGAAACTAATTTCTACTTACTTTTTCTTGTAACTCTGAGTAAGTAATTTTTCTGGAAACGCCAGTGCAGGGACTATCGTAAATAAGAGCTACCTTGGAACCTCTGCCAGCTTCAACATGCCTGTCAATAGCGTTGTGACAGGCGTTAATTTCTCCGCCAACGTACCTTTAAAATTTACAAAGTGTCTCGAATTGAAGGTGTGCTTCGGGATTCAATTCGAATGGTCAGAAAAGTTCAAAAATCAAAAGCCAATTAGATTCTTAGTTAAATCAATTATCTAGTGCATCCTTTAGTCGATTATTTTGAATATTTCGATAAATAATTCATAGACGATGGCAAATCGTTCGATCTAAACTTCCCATTTATTCAACTCGAATCCCAAAAAAATATCTAAGAGATGACAGGTGTCATCTCTAAATAATTTTTGATACACATCCAACTCTTTAGTAATATAACGGCTAGATTATGTCTAGTTTTTTCAAAAATACACTAAACTACCCAAATTTATGATGAGGCATTTCTGCATTTTTTTTTTTTTAAATATGACTTACCATCTGGTAAACGGTTCCCTACTATTGTCTAAAACCCTTTTCCAGGGCTTGGACCAGCTGACCAGTGTTCCTGCATTGGCCCAGAAAGATTCTGGATTGTCAATTGATTCCTTAAATACTTTTTCGTATGTGTTGCTTAATAATATTGATCCATTGACATTAGCTTTGCCTAAATCAAAATAAATATTCAACTAATCAAAAAAAAAAAACACATACACACATTTTCGAAAGTTTATAATGTAGTATGAATGTTTGCTCCTGAATAAATCAGGTCATTAGGTATCTTGTTGATACTATATTTTTTATGCCAAAAAACTAGGTGCTAATTTTGAAAAGGAAATTATTATTCCAAATTTCAAACAAGGTTAAAAGGTTATGCATTATTCAAGTTTTTTTAGAAATGTTGAACTCATTCAAATTTGCACGTCTAAAGAATTATTAAAAACAAATTTGGATTATCGCAATAATAACAAAACAATCTGATTAGCAAAATATGTACTTATATAGACTCTGGACTTCGCCTAATATATTTTCAAGATTTATGAATTGATCCCCCATAAAATATTCACACGTACACTCTCCGTCGTGTCTGTGATGCTATCCAGAAACGGTTTCAAAAATGTATTGAATAGAAGAGAAGACATATCGAACAATTTAGATGGGTTTAGTTTTTAATTCTAATTTTTTTTTTAATTTTTGACAAATACATTTTTAGTAGTATAATTTTTGAATACATTAGTTCACGTTTATCAATATCTCTCAGTTATAAATCATCTATTAAATCTCTTGTTGCAGATAAATAGACTTTTTCTTATTAGTAATAGGATCTTTCTTCCCGCGGGCTCTGCCATTCGGTCATGATATTAATGTTTTTTTTTTCGTTATTATCATAAACTAGTGTGCGTATCTGCAAATGTTTTATGGGATGCGTAAAAAAATACAAACAACGTTGTCCGGTTTGCATTTTTTCCTTTTCCTGTGAAATCTTGGCCAACAACAACAAGAAAATCATATGACATACAATTCAAACGGGGGGGGGGGGGGTTGCTTCTAGTCAGCGTTACCAGATTGAGGGATTTTCGAGTAGATGGGGGAAAATCTGGGGGATAGTTTCTTCTGGGGGATTTTTTGGGGGTAAAAATTTTCGCTATTGGGGAAATTGGGTATATTTCAATGAATAAAACTAAAGTAAAAAATGTTACAAAAATTAAAACAACTGCGCCATCTATTTTTTCAATCAAGTTCCAATAAAAATGATACAGTTTGCTTCTTCTCGGGAGGAACGCAAACGCTCAGTTCTAGATCTATTTTAATTTGTAATGACAAATGACAGTTGACTTGACAAATCGGATCGGGGGAATCCCCAACGACCGACGTTGCTTGCATTGTTTATTTTTTATTTTGCGTTTTGCATTTCTTTGCGGTTATAGTGCGTAGTGCTCTAAGTTGCTGTATTCTAAATTTTAATACAGCTAAATAATATAATAATAAACTATCCAAACTTCTTGGTACAACTGTACTTATCTGTTCTGTCACCAGTCACAACATTTTATTTCATTTGTCATTTGTCAATTGTCATTTTATTTTTGGGATTAGAAAAATATAAACAAATAAAAAAGTGGTAAGGGTATGAGTTTTATTTTAAAATATTTAACGAATTTGTCTTTTTTTTTGCAAGTATGAGTCGAGAATAAATCTATATTTATTTATTTGGGCGATTTTAGTTGACAAACAGTGATTTTTGGGGTATTTTTGAAATCCTTTGGGGGAAATTAGTTATAACCATCTGGCAACCCTGCTTCTAGTATTATGAAAATAAAAGATGATCGGTGTGATTTTAAACGTTATCAGTAGACTCCCCGTATAAATGTTTCCTAATAATGTCAAAGTTTGACAGATGTTGAATCAATAGTTTATGAGATACCTAAAAACGAAAATCAATTTCGGCGATTTTCAGTTTCTTTCAAATGTATCAAAAACAAATAATTTTTAATAAAATCAGAGTCAGATTCTAAATCAGCATGGAATTCTCTAAAACCCTCCCAATTTAACTGGGCTCTATCTTTCATAAATAACTAAAATATTGAGGATCTAAATTGAGACACACTGTACCTAATACCTAATATAATTTAGCATTAGATTATGAAAATTGAACTCCTTTTCCTGAAACATTTATTTGAGAGGTTCAAAGACTGAGTTGTAGCATTTTGGAAGAAATTCGTATTTGATAAATTGGATTTTTTGTTCTGATGGTCGACGGACCAAGGAATGGCCGTACCAGCCTATTCAAATGCCATTTTTGAACCGAGTCAAGTAAATAATCAGATTAAATTCACTTGGACGATAGCTGCTAATCGTGCCTTCTAAGGCGACTTCGAAATTTTGGAATCCTCAGTTATAACTGGAACCACGGACACTAATGGAAATCAACTTAATTGTAAAAGGTAGTAAGTAGTGTTAAACTATTTATGAAAAAGTTTTTTCCTTGTAGGTACGTGTTTGGCACATATGGTATGTGGCTTGAACTATATTTTTAAAGACATAACCCATGGAAAAAAATGCTCTCTTTAAAGGTGAATTTTGAAAAATTTGGAAAAGCTATATTCATCTCTTACCTTTCTTGCAATCCATCAACCTTTTCCGTTTCACAATACTCATGTTGGTTAATAATTTTTTCGTGGATAACGACTATCGCGCACAACAAAATCCAAAACTAATTTCAAAATAACAACGAATAGGAAAAATTGAGTTTGGTTGCGTCTAGCGCTGTGCTAGGCTGATGGAAATTTGAATACAAAGCAAGTACGAAGTCCTCTTTTTGATTCTGTTGGCAACGTTTTAAAGGATTTCACCCGTTACATCAGCATTGGTTTTTGTATGTATTGCTTTTTAACCATTTACAATGACATTAACACAAAGTATTGGCGCGATATGTCAACCAAAACTTGCTAAATCAATCGCAGTGCAAAAACAAAATTTGGAAATGTTAATACACCTAAATTAAAATTTTAACTAAAAAATCATTGTCAATAATTTTTTATGGAAAACAATTTTTTAAACTGCCATGTGGTTGTTGACCAATATTAGAAACTTTTTGACATATTTGATGATAAGTCTTATCGTAAATCAACTTTGTGTAGACCACTGTAAAAAATATTTACTAAATAATAAAAATATTTACTAAACTATTAAAAAATACAATGGTAATAAAATTAATTATTGAGATTATAGATTAAATTTGAAATATTTATTAGGTAAGTAGGTACCGACAAATCAAATTTTTATGATTTGAGAAACAGGGTAAGTACTTAATTTAGAAATTTCTATTTGAAAATACCTATATATAGGGTGGTCCAAAAAAAACCGGAATTTTGTTTTTGAGCTGTAACTTTTTTATTTGTTGACCAATTTGCTTTTGTTTTGGCTTGTTTGAAAGAGAAATGAACAGACTAACGAATCACGGTAAAACTTTTGACATTTGCAAGAAATCCAAAATGGTGGACTACTTCAAAAATTGCCTAGTTTTGGATAGCGCTGGAACTTTTTTGTGATAACCTGTATAAGTTCTTAAGTTCATCATTTTGCGAACATTTTAAGACCTCGACAGAAAAAATCGGTTGAAAACTAAGTGAAATATTGAATTTTTTGTAATATCGAATTTCAATGTTTTATACTGACTGCAAAATCTAGGATATGCTATTTCAGCTAGAATTTTTTTTTCTACTCGACATATTTCTTCTATTTCGGGCTTGTTCGAAAGATAAATAGGTAGGATAAGGATTCGAAATGAAGATTTTGACTGTTGAGGAAAAATTAAAGATTTCCCAGTTCCTTTAACGTAGCCAATTTTCAAAAAGTTAACGATAAGTTTTCTAACAATACGACTAATCTAATATTTTTAATTATAAATTCTAAAAAATAAAGTAAACACGTTTAAGGGGCAAGAGGCGATATGCCCTCCATGGGCCTCAACAACCCATGCTAAACGTCTACGCCAAGAATCGATAGAATTGGCAGCTCTTCTAAATTATTGAACGTAGCCCCATTTCCGTGGACTTTTTCTTCCAAGTCCCCCTATAAAAAGTAATCACAGGGATTCAAATCTGGGCTATAAGGCGGCCAGTCAACGGGCTCTATGAAATTCGCAACTTGCTCTCTTAGATAGTTGATAGTAAAGAATAATTAAAAGTGATTTAATGCTGAAGCATGTTAAACGGGACTACACATTTAAACTGTCCTACTTAATAGATTCAGAGCCCGTGCTGAAATCCGAAAAATTTGGTTCAGTGATGGGAACATTTTTACCTTATCCGGAGTAAAGAATTCGCAAAAAGACCAACTACGAATTTCCCTCCAAGCTCGAAAAGCAGACAAAGGAAGAGAAAAATTCAGCAGTTATTTAATGGTATCTATCTGCAGCAATTTCTCGGAGCCAGTGGAGCCACAAAGCACAACTAATTGTTATCGACCAAGGAGTTCGCTTGTATTCACGCAAGTATTGTCACTTGTGTTCGCCATATGCTATCCGAAAGAACCTTGATCCGAAATTGAACAGCTCACACCTCAAGACTACACTTTTATGCAGGTAATTTTATAACTTACCTAGTTATCATTCATTTATTGTTTAGATTTTGGTTCTCACAAAAACTTTGATAAAATTGTACGGTTTTGTATTTCTCTTTTTATGAGATAAAGGTGATAAATACTGTTTGTATATAAGCTGGATCCAGGTGACATAATAGCCACTTTACTATCAACTATCTAAGAGAGTAAGTTGCGAATTTCATAGAGCCCGTTAACTGTCCGCCTTATAGCCCAGATTTGAATCCCTGCGATTACTTTCTATAGGGGGACTTGGAAGAAAAAGTCCACGGAAATGGGGCTACCTTCGATAATTTAGAAGACCTGCGCAACCAAATCATTGAGTATTGTGGAGAACTGCTGGAACAACCTAACATTGACAATTCTATCGATTCTTGGCGTAGACTTTTAGCATGGGTTGTTGAGAGGTCCACGGAGGGCATATCGCCTCTTGTCCCTAAATGTGTTTACTTTATTTTTTAAAATTTATAAATAAAAATATTAAGTAGTCGTATTGTTAGAAAACTTATAGTTAACTTTTTCAAAATTGGCTATGTTAAAGGAACTGGGAAATCTTTAATTTCTCCTCAACAGTCAAAATCTTCATTTCGAATCCTTATCCTATCTATTTATCTTTCGAACAAGCCCGAAATAGAAAAAATATGTCGAGTAGAAAAAAAAATTCTAGCTGAAATAGCATATCCTAGATTTTGCTGTCAATATAAAAAATTGAAATTCAATATTACAAAAAATTCAATATTTCACTTAGTTTTCAACCGATTTTTTCTGTCGAGGTCTTAAAATGTTCGCAAAATGATGAACTTTAAGAATTTATTTAAAAAACTTATACAGGGTGTCACAAAAAAGTTCCAGCGCTATCCAAAACTAGTCAATTTTTGAAAGAGTCCGCCATTTTGGATTTTTTTCAAATGTCAAAAGTTCCACTCTGATTCGTTAGCCTGTTCATTTCTCTTTCAAACAAGCCAAAACAAAAGAAAATTGGTCAACAAATAAAAAAGTTACAGCTCAAAAACAGAATTCCGGTTTTTTTTGGACCACCCTATATATTTTTTATTTTTTTAAATTGCCTTAAACTAATATAATTTTTTGATCATAAGACTCTCTGTCTCAAATTCGCACTTTATTATTTGAAGAAACTCCATATTCCCTGCTCAACGTCTACCAATGCTGGATACGAGGTTTTTGTATTGTATTATTTGTGTTATTTGTGATCGGCTTGGCTTGAACGCACGCCTGTTTCACTTGTCTTCCGCGACGGCGCGAAAAGTGACAGATCCCTCTATTCAATTAAAACTCATGGAAAATAGGCAGTTTTCGAAACCTTCGAAAAGAATCACAGGTAGCCGCTAATTGACTACTATGACATTTGAATGTCATTTAGAGAATATCGCTACCAACACTGTCCGTTATCCTACGGACGATAGACATCGTGGTAGCGATAACGATACGCACGCGCAGCACTGTTAAATTCATATTTATCCTTTTCTTTCTAGAGGCGTAAACGGCCGTTTTTGAAGTGAATACTTCTTTGGCCGCATGAGAGTAATTTTTCAAAGTCGCGTCACGACACGGTTTATAAAATTTTCGTCTCGCAAGTGAGATGAAGCATATGATGAATATGAGGGAGAGAGAGTACGTATTCACTTCTAACACGTGTACTGTGCAGCACGCGACTTTTTTTTTTGATTAGTTTATTCTATGGATTAGTTTTTGGTTGTGTTTTTTGTATTTGTGTTAAATTAAATTATTTTCATACTTTCCTGTGTATTTTCAGTGCTTTTTTTGTTGTACAGGGTGGTTGATTTTCGATAGTTTGATAGGGTACAGCCAAAATGGCCGAAGATACTGAGAAACTGATATATGCTTCCCGTCCCCTTTTTTAGTGTGTCATTTGATGCTGTAGTCAGATCTTGGCCAACAAGTTTGGTTTGCGAGGTACAGGGTGTTTTTCAAAATCAGCTGTTTTTTATAATCCTCTATAACTTCTTACCCTACGGAGATATAGAAAAAGTGCAAAAAGGAAAAATACGTCTTTTTTTACGTAGAATCCAGTGGCGTACTTAAAAAAAATATGGGAGCTTTATCTTCTGAGATGTTCGAAAAAACAAAGATTTTTCAAATGGAACACCCTCTATCTTATTGGTTCAGTATTTTGAGAAAAAAATTGCGAGTTCAACGATACATAACATATGATATTTTGTTTTAGTCTAAATGGCGAAAGCAACAAAAAACACTTTTTTCTACTACCGTGCGTAAAGTACTCACTTTACGAACTATTCAGAATACGTAAAGTTTCACTTCACGCACTAGTGCGTGAAGTAATGTCAATGACAGATGTCGACACTGTCAATTTAGTATTTTTCTGGTAAATTACTTCATGCTCCAGTGCGTAAAGTGAAAATATTTTCCGCACTAGTGCGTACAGTATGTATTTGTCTAAATTTATTTTTTTACACATATTTGATTGGTAGTAGAAAAAATTTTGTATGCAATACGTATAGCACCTTTTTTCACGGATGTGAATTATGACGCACGAGCCGAAGGCGAGTTCGACAATCACATTTTACACACTTGTTGCATAAATAACTAAACTGCTGGATAGTTGCTTTGCAACATGGAAAATTTTACCCAAATTCAAATCTCGATATTTGCGGAACGGAAAGAGATATCGAGTTGCGGTATTCGGGAGGTTCTTGACCAACTCTTTGAGAACACGCACAAGGTTTGACCGGTATATTTCTTTCATTTATCCACTTGTACAGGGTGAGTATAGGAAGTCATGTTTTTCTAGCAAAGTTTGGAGCTATGCCAGATTCTCAATTTTTGATCTTGGAAATTTGTATATGCATCTTTTTGATCTTTGGACTATCCCAAAAAAAGTAATTTCTCAAATTTTTTGGAAGTTGGCTATAATGCAAAATATCGAATTTTTAAAAAAGGGTTACATTTATCCCTAAAAAAGTGACTTTTTCGGGGTTTCGCTTGAGAACGGGTATTTTTTCTCATACTTTTGTATGAAGTGGAATTTCTTGGCCCCGAGAAAAGATTGAAGCACTTATTGGACGTATTGCCTGCAGTGGCGTGCAGAAAAAAGTTGCTTTTGACATTATGTAATAAAAACCGAATTTATAAATTAAATTATACTATGCAATTAAACAGCTTAGTGAACAAATCCAAGTTATTACTTT